GCTTTTGGTGACGGGAATGTTGATGAATATTCACTGTTTTTATCAATATTTCAATGTTATGTTATTTGGAACGTGGTTGAATGGACATAATATGTTTTAAAGATAACTCCCAATAAAAGCCAACATTTAAACAGTAGGTTTTGCCAAAATATGGACATTCGCCTGGTATGTTTTGAAAATATTTATGATAACTGTTGTATTTTAGTTTATTTTCATAAAATATAGTGTTACAATTGCATTCCAGGTGTATTAGAAGATATGCAGGTGCATTATAATCTATCTTATGATGGTTTTGATGGTTTAATGCATTAAAACTTTTTTTACCAGGCGAGGATGAAAATATCCTATTTTTCTTTATTGCATCTCCATTTAGTCAGTAATGGTAAAATAAATATGTTAATTTGTTCCTTAGCTTCTGACCTTTCAAAGAGACCAGAATTATGCATCTAGGCCAAATGGTTGAGGAGTTATTACTGATTCATTTTGGGTTTGTTATTTTAGGTGTTTTTCCTGGAATTAGGGGCAAATAGCTGGAGGTTTCCAATTAAATGATATTAGAGATTGTTTGTGTCACAACGTGGCTGCTGAGTGGAGCAGCAACGGGCTTGGCAGTGAGGGAATACCCTCAAAAATTAAAAGTTTGCAATTTTTACATTTTGCACTACAAGTACAAGTTATTGTTGCCTAATAAAATAGTTTTACAGACTATTTCAGGTTTTTAAAACAATATTAGAGCCTCTGAGTGCCCAGTTTAAGAGTGACAGCAGGTTCTAATCCTGTGTTTTTGGTAATAATACTGCAGCAACCTTTTTTATATATGAAGTAAATGTATTGTGCCTTAAAGTGTTACACTCTTCTTATGTTTCGAAAGACTGGGCTACCACCTGATCTCTGAAATCTCCTTAAATCTGCAAATAAAACGTGATTTGAGAAAAGTCTTATTATAGTTGTCTTTTATTATGAAGTACAGTAATAATAGTGTCTCAGTAACATGGTTTTGTTTAATGCTCAGGGTCCAATAAAGACAGAAATGATGTCCTTTAATGTTGTAAAACCTCAAAACGAAAGCTTCACACAGCGTAAGTTGAGAAAAGATGCTGAAACGTGCTGAGATATGCAGACTTTCTTTCTCAAGCGTTGTAAACACTGATGACCCTGATAACCACTGCAGATGGTGATGCTGTTATTCTTACAGGCATGACAGTGGCTAAGCATGCATTGTGCGAGGTCCAGATCTTTGTACTCGTCATTGCGAGCAGTACTTTGACTGTAGTTTATAAATTACCACGCTTTTATGTTCAGACGAACAAACATCAGAGAGATGATAAACTGCCCAGTTTGAGCCAGGCAACGGGTTTTAAATGGACCAGTTTGGCAGACCCAGTTGTCTGTGTGTGTGTGTGTGTGTGTGCGTGCAGGTACCGTGGGTACGACTGCAGGAACAACCTGTTCTACACTCAGGGGGGGGAGGTGTTGTACCACGTGGCGGCGGTGTGCGTGATCTACAACCGGCAGCTGCACAGCCAGCGCTTCTACCTCGGCCACGACGACGACATCCTGAGCCTCAGCATCCACCCGCTGAAGGACTATGCTGCTTCAGGACAGGTGCACACACACACACACACACACAGACGCTGTCTAAGGCTTTTTTATTGAGGCAGGTAAAAAAAGAGCAACAGAGAATTGGTTGAATCTTTGCAATCTTCCTAAGTTGATAAAAGACAGGCTTAACTGGATATTTGAAATTTAAGCTGGGATCAAACGTTACACCAAGATTTTTAGGCGCAGGTTTAATTATTTGGTAGACTTACGTGATCAGAAATATATTTAAATAAGCATCTAATGTGTGTGTGTGCAGGTGGGGAGGGACCCAGCCATCCACGTGTGGGACATCCAGACTCTGAAGTGTCTGTCTTTGCTGAAAGGATTCCACCAGAGAGGAGTGTGTGCTCTGGATTTCTCAGGTGTGTTTACATGTTCAGTCTTGATTTTAATATGTCACTTTGATTCAGGCTGATATCTCGCTGTAACTGTTGAATAATAATGTCCCCCCTCAGGATGACTTGATAACCTTTGGACCATCATCATGTCTAAACTTTAATTTGTCCAATACTTTGGTTTATGACCAAATACCTGCAAACCTTATGGTGTACCTGTCATCCTCAGCTGTCATCAGTGCTAACAGGCTGCAGGCAAGCACAGCCTCACAGAGCCGTTAGCATGGCTGTAGACTGTCACTGTGTGTTACCTTTTAGTTTGGTTATTTTTATGCAACCAGGTAGTTTCCTACTATTCTCAGGAAAGAGTAAGATTGCATTTAGTTAGAAAGTAACACAAACACACACACAGCATTATCAGATGTTGAAGGAACAGTAAATTGTTCTGATCAGGGTTCAAATCTTGTCCATCTAGGTTTGTTGTGATGTGTTTCCCTTGTTGTGTTCAAGTGTGTAACACGTTAAACTCAGTAACACAGAGCTAACCACTCGTCATCGTCCAGTTCGAGTTTTCCCCCTCTGGGCTATGAAAAAGGGGAAACCCTCCTTATGTATTTTCTCTCTGTGGTCCTGATGCAGCTGATGGAAAGAGTCTGGTGTCAGTGGGAGTCGATGACGGACATTCAATTGTAGTCTGGGACTGGAAGAGAGGAGAGAAACTCGCTACTGCCAGGTGTGGTAAAAAAAATAAAAAATTACTTACTACTCTAAACTACTACAAGGTCAGTACACTGTAACAAACTACAATTATACTTAGTACTTTTATTACTGCTCTTATTGTAAATACAATTTCTTCCAAATAGGTTTCACTACAACCACAATACTACTATTATTAGTACTTTACTCCTACTTATACTGTAATTACTACTGCTTCCACACAAGTGCTACTACAACTAGTACATAGTACAAGCTCATATGTTTACTGCTTATCACTGCTTGTCGTAGTACAAGTAATTTCTGGCTGCTTTGGCTGCTTCTACTACTGTGCTACTCGTGTACTATATTACTGCTGCTGCTTTTAAAGGGTTACTTTTTTATTTTTCAACCTGGTCCCTATTCTTCCCCATATAATATTTTTGTGTCTATGTGATTCATTTGGAAAACATTTTTTGAAACTGGTCCAGTATGAGCGAAACAGGGCTGCGACATAATCCTCGCAAGCAATTGTGCCCCGTCAAAGTACGTCCACTAAAGTACTTGTTTTTGTCACTGACAGGCTCAGGGTTCTTATAAGTGTTTGACGAAAGGATCCCTACAGAGATAGACCTTTTTTTTTTAAAGAGTATCATCCTTTTTGTTTAACCAGAAACAGACTATATTGCTCTCGTTAAAGCCACCAGACTCCCTTGACAAAAACAGTCATTTTACCTCTCTGGTCTACCGCTGCCTCAATTGGTTAGTTTGTGTTGTTGTGTGACCCCTAAAACAACAAAGTCACACAATAACACAAACAAACTAACCATCAACTCCCATGTTCTGCGCGGTAAAGTACTACTACTTTAAAGTATGATACAGTATATTTTGGGTACAATGGACACCAGAGTATGTATCGACTTTTAAGCATTTATACCGCATTCCTACTTTTCATAATTACGTCTCTTTCTCTACAGAGGTCATAAGGAGAAGATATTTGTGGTGAAGTGTAATCCATGCTGATGGACAAACTGGTCACTGTGGGAATTAAACACATCCAGTTTTGGCAGCATGCAGGTAAAACCTCAGAAAGGATGTTTGACTCTGGCTTTAACTAACATAGAAACACACGTGCTGCAGGGTTAGAGTACATAATCACAGTCACTCTTGTTACTCTAGCACAGTAGTTTTTGTATGCTTGTACATAGAGAATCTGGACTCTTGAATGTGACGGTTTGCCTGAGGATGGGGTCAGACAAAGGGCCATTAACCTCACAGGAAGTTCTTTAAAAAGAGATTTAAAGCGGGTGCAGCCAATAACATTAGCTGTTTAGCATTTCTTTCAGGAGTCCAGGATTTAGAGGTGTTTTGCCCTTTTCCTCGTGTAATTTGCCACTTTTTTTTTCTGTTGTTGACATTTGTGTTAATATGCTCACCAAAAAGTCATTTAGACTCTATTGTCCTTTGCTGACCTTTTGCTGCTGCCAGTGTCCCAAAAGAGACAATTACATTTTTAAATTAATCTAATGTAGACTCCTGTGTATAACATTTGTGAGATTTTGTGACCATTATGCCAGAGGTTTTCAAACTGTGAGAGAGGAGAGTTGGGTAATGAGTAGGTGAGGAGGGAATTAAAGTTTTCTTCAGTATCAAAGTAATCAATCCAGTAATAGTTGTCCGTACATCCATGAGTACAACGCAAACAGGAACTTAACCTTATGCCTTAGTATGGACATTTTGTCCGTTAACATATTTTAATGGGTAAAAATATTACTATAATAGCTAATTCAGCTACTTTTAGTGGTGCCAATTTGCCAGTATGTAAACAAACATAGGCTGATGAAATAGGGCTCAAGTTGTAGGC